CTAGACCAAAAGAAGACACTACCAACTGCTGACCCATGACCAACAAGTACCAAATACTAGAAGCACTTCTTATTGGGTGTTCATGTTCTTTCTACCAAGCAGCTTGTAAACTTATATGTATTCACCACCAAAGTACATACACACACTCTTGGCTACAGGCACTTGCTATCTAATTTCTACCCTTAAACATAGAAAACAGACAAAATTGTTTTTTAAGATACTGACATTCATGTTTTATTATCTTTTATTAGAAGGAAGACAAGGAAACTAAATATACTATTGTACTTCCTCTCACAGAAATGTTAAAACTTGAGAGCTTGAATAAAGGAACATTATCAGAGCCACACATTTCTATACTGTTTGTATGAAAATGTTGTTTTTGATAAACTACACAATTTTTTAACAATAGAAATTGAAACATGATGTAATCATCAATGTATAAACTGAATGTGAAAATATTTATGATATTTTCTTAAATTCTACATTGTTAGTCAATCTCTAGCAGCAATTTTTAAACATTTGCCATTCTAAAATAAACTATGAAACTTAATTTTTATAATAAATTATTCCATAACAGATCTTAACTTTTGCCTCTATTAACAGGCAACTGTAGCAGGGAAAGGTAGGTGTCTACTCAATATTTACTTTCTCTTTTCATCCTTGTTAATAAGCCCATATTTCAGTGGGTAGAAGAGAAGCAATGTGCCTATCTTAAAAATAAAAATATAAAAAATCCCCAACTTTCCAGGAAGATACTAGCCACACAACAGAATTCTGGCCAAAAAGATTTAGTAAAAGTTGTTGTTTAAGATTTAAGGGAAAGCCCTTTAAAAGGGCAACAGACAGGGCACCTGGGTGGCTCCATCTGTTGAGCATCTGACTCTTGGTTTCGGCTCAGGTTGTGATCTCGTGGGTCTTGATCTCATGGGTCATGACAGCGAGTTCCAGGTCACGCTCTACACTCAGTGCAGAGTCTGCTTGGGATTCTTTCCCTCTTCTTCTCCATTCTCTTCTGCCCCTACGCCTGCTCATGTGCATGTGGTCTCTCTCTCTAAAATAAATAAATGGATCTTTAAAAAAAACAAAGGCAACAGAATTGGTACAGATATGCCAAAGAGAGGCCTAGCCTCAGTACAGGCTTATGGGAGATAACCTCTGAACTCCTGGAATGTTCCAAATGATAGGAATGTCTTTTTTTCATTCATGGTGGGCACCTCAACCATATCTGATAGGTTATGCTGAGGAGGCAACTCCTGGTGGGCGTTGACAAGTTTATGTTAAAAAGAAGACTCAGCATGAAGGCTAGCCAAGCCAAAAAAAACCAACCATGTGATTAGAGATGTTGATCCAGATGATATCAGCCCAACTTCAGGGGAGGGGAGAAGAGAGCTAAACATTGAGTTCAACCAGATGGGTGATGATTCAATCAATCATGCCAATGTAATGAAACCCCAATACAAATTCTGGAATCCACAGCTTGGTAAGCTTCCTGCGTTGGTGATTTTCTAAGTGTGTACTACTATACATTGATCCAGGAAGGATAATGTGTCCCTGAGGATGATGCAAGATTCATATCTAAAACCCTCTCAGTCTCAGATTCTGCCCTATATATTCTTTCCTTTGACTGGTTCTACACACCTATAATCATGAGTATAACATTTTGCTATACTCCTAGAAGGTATCTACAGGGACCTTCAAGTTTGTAGATAAGCTAGTATGACATAGGAGTGGCTCTGGGGACCCCTAAACTTGCAGGTGGTGTCAGAAGTTCTGTGCAGACTTGCAATCTGGAGGACTGATGCCTTAAAGTTCAGTTTGTCTCTGTCTTCCTTCTTTTCTGAATACAACACCAGATGCAGAGCAGCCATCTTGTGCCAACAAGCTGACAAGCATGTGCCAAGTACATCAGACAAGAGTTCTGTCAGGGAAAGAGAACCTGCTCTAAGTATTTCAAAAGAGATTTAACTTAAGAATTTAGGTTCTTAAGCACTGGAAGAGCTAGAAGAGCAGAAGATGGGGACACGACTGCAAACTTTTAAGTTTGTCATAACTATAGTCCAGAGAATGAGGGGATTACTCTTGCTCCTCAAGTTAGGAAACTGCAGGAAACAGAAACTACAGAACAAAGGTAGGTGATTCAGAATGGAATGCCTAAAGGCAGATGCAAAGCCTCGCAACTGGAAAAGCCCAGGCATCTGTTTACTACTGCCATAAAAAAATAATACGGGTCTTGTCTCCCTCCAGTCTTCACATGCAGAAAGTAAATCACAGCCAAATAAATCCCAAAGTAAAAGAGAGTCTGAAAATATTCTATTCAATGAAAACATTTTTTTGTCATTCTGTCTCTTGATCTTAAACTCCTTCCTGCAATTGTATACTCTAAATTACCATGGTGCTTGGTACATATGGGGAGGCTTTTATCATATATATGACATACACTGTACTGTTGGGAGTTCATAAATAACATTGTGAAGACTATTCTTTATTTTTCTCCCAAAGTCTGAAATCCTAAAAGGTATGAATTTTAGAAGCCTCTTAGTAGAGAAAGGGATATAGCAGTAGCTATGTATAAACTATATATATATAACTATATAAGCTATTCTATAAACAGCCATCAAAAGTATACAGTTTGTAATTTATATAAAAAAATGATCTGACACCCAGAGTTATGGTCTCTGGACACTTTTTCTCAGATACTCCCATTAATAAAAACTTTTCTGGGCATAAACTTCCAATACATGTATATTTATTTTATTAATTTTTCTTATGTAAAAGTGCTACTGTACTAATAGATCCTATAAAGCACAGACATAGATAGGATATAAATAAGATAAAAACAATGAAAAACTTATGCTGCACAAAAATATTCAATATTGAATGAATCATTTAAAAATATTTTATTTTGTGCAATTTTTCTATTGAAATAAACTTCACATAACATAAAATTCACTATTCTAGAGTATACAATTCAGTGTTTTTTAGTATATTCACAATATTATATAATCATCACCACTATGAAATTCCAGAACATTTCCATCACCCCAAAAAGCAACCCTGTATCTGTTAGCAGTCATTCCCAATTCTATCCTCCAGCCATCAGCAGCCATTAATTTACTTTCTGCCTCTATGCATTTGCCTATTCTAAACATTTCATGTAAACAGGATCATACAATATGAGTTATTTTAAAGTGTTCATTTAGCAGGTTATGAAACAATTTGAAACTTATTTCAAAATCAGTTTTCTTGATTCACGGTTTTAATCATTATCAATATCTGAAAAAGACTTACAGAAATCCAGAGACCCAAATAGGGGAGCATCTTTTTTTTTTTTTCAGTCCCATCCATCAATCACTTTATTGAAATCTGGTTAAGAAATCATTTTCTCAAATGAAATTTTTTTTCTTAAAAAAAAAAAAGATTTTCTTTTTTTAAGTAATCTCTGCACCCAATATGGGGCTCAAGCTCATAACCCCAAGATCAAGAGTCACATGTTCTACTGAGTCAGCCAAGCACGCATTCAAATGAATTCTTATCAGTAAACCAGAAAGCGTTTTATTTTTATATTTTTAACAATCAGTCCCAAATTTTCTGTAATTACTTGTACAAGTTTTAAACATATTTGAAATTTTGGATTCCAGGTTTTTAAGTTAAGAAGATGCAAGTGTTTTATAATAACACATGTAGCTTTCAGTGTGACAAAATCACGTAGTGATGTTTAAATTACCAAACATTTCAGGTGTCCTTCTCTATAACATGAGTTTACGTCCAGAAGTAGTTGCTTTGCCATCCCTTATCACAACATTAATTCTTACTTGAAGGGACAGACTAGTGTGTTTTGGGGTTTGTTTGTTTAGTATCTTGATATATAACATCCTGTGATAACAATCTCTTTAAATCACTTATATACCCTGTGGTATTAAAGGTAAAACTAGACAATTTTTAAACTCATGTAATTGAGTATGCAAATTGCAAGAAAATTCTAATATTATGAAAGTACATACATGAGTAGGAACACCACGGTTATTCTTTTCCAAGGTGTGGCAAGCCCCTTCTTGCCTCAGATCACTCTTGAATCACATGGGACAAGTGGTCATTGGACCCAACAACATACTGAGACCTCAGTACCATGGCACAGCAAATACTAGTATAACTCAATATCCTTTGTGTTGCAATTTTAAAAATACAAGTGGAACTTTAGATATATACACACACATATGTGGATACACACAAGTGGATCGCTGCAGAAAACACTAATCATAAAAAATTATAAACTTTTTTTAAAGAAAATCTGAATTTAGCAGTGGGTAAATTTAGGTAATCAGAAAATATTTGTGGAAGGGAAGTAGGCACAGAGAGAAAGAAGAGGAGAAAGAATTAGAGGGGCTAAAGATTCTGAAAAGTTGATAAATCCTGAGGAACAAAGTCTTGGTTATCAAAAAATCTCATTTATGAATAGAGATTTTTAAATCCATGATTTAGAGTACATTACAAAATTCAGAGGCAAGACCTAGGAGGAGACTCTAGGCCTGAGGATTACCCTTATATATGCTCTGCAATCATTTCTTTGGACATAAGCACAGGTATTTACATTGGAACCAGGGGTTCCTGACAGAGTAAGAGTCTGAACAACTATCTACATCATTTACATGTATGGTTACATAAGCACAGAAGGCCTTTTAATTTCATTTTAAGTTAATCTGATTTTAAAATTATACTAGAGTACAATTATATGGTATACAAATATAACTATATAAATCTTATACAATAAGGTTAATTGAAAACACCTGAAATATAAATATCTTTCACTTCAACAACAAAAAAAATGAAAGTGAAGTCACTGTTTTACACTATCCAAGTGCTCAGAACAAAAGGCAGAACCATTCACTGCACAACACCAACACAGTTTTTAAAGAAGTTTAAAACATTTATGACTTATTGCAGCTATGAAAACAGTATTTAATATGCTGTCCAATGAGAAGAATATGAAAAAAGCTTCCTACCTTTGTGATAAGAAGGCGATATCTATCCAGCATTGCCTGGTTGTCATGGCAACCTGCTAATAACTGCCATACCTCTGCCCTCAGTGCTTCAGGGACTCCACTCTTCACTAGAGTGGACAGCCCCTTTGGTCGTGCACCAAGGTTACTGTGCCTAAGAAAACAAGAAAACAAACCATTCATACTCCCTTCACCACTGCTGAACTGCTGCTGTTATGGAAAGCACATTAATAAATTTACATAAAAATGTAAGCCTGGGTTGAGGAAAAAACTGGGGAGGAGAGCATGAGATACATCAGTAGGTCGGTGATATCCTGGAACTTATGAACTTATTTATCATAATGAGTGTGTTAATTATATATTTCTTGGAAGCATTTCAAGGCATAAAAAGAACCATCTGAATCCCCTGACATGAACATAGGACAAGTTGGTTAATGACATGAGAATGACAAGGAATAGGGGAATGGGAAGCTGAAAGTGGATCACAGACTTATCATGTCTTGACTATACCCCTACATCCTGACCCAAAGTACTCCCTAAATGAAGGACCTAGACCTTTCCCTCAAAACTTATACAACATATACAACTCCACTTTTCTAGGAGAATAGCATAGACTTATTAACCATACCCATTTCCAAGGGTGTTTAGAAATAAAACACAGGCAAGTATTTTTTGCCATTAAGTCAATGATGACATGGTAAGTATACGACTACAATAATCTGCACAACTTAACAAGAAGTTGACTTGCAGTTCCCAGTCTTTTGAGTATAAATTCCATTCCTCAACATTTTCCTGGTGCCCAACTTGAACCTGGGAGCTGTCTTTTATGTCTCTTTGCTCAGATTTTATGTCTACTTGTATTTGTTACCCAGTTTTATACGCTTAGAGCTGACCCTGGTATTACCAGCTGGACTCCAAACACTGATGATGTACTCTGGTTTGATCCAACATTCAGGCTTTGGTTTCCAGATTTAGCCCTAAAAGTCAGAGTCAATATGTCTATTTTCTAAAATTGCCCTCTCATGTACTTCATCAACTTTCTCTAGCTTATATACACTCTTCCATCTCCAGCCCAGATCTCAGTTTTGGCAGACCTTTCTTCTGAAAATATGTTCCATTCCTTTCCCATTCAGTCATCATCTGGCCATTTTGGAAGAACTGTTGTACTTTCCATAACTCAAAAGCTCAAGTAAACTCATCCCATTAATATTTCTTAAAAACCATCAAGTTTTTATCTATTCTGCTTTCTTTCAGCCTCAACTTTTATATTGTTGAGTTAGAGAATCTAAACTGCCCATACTGATTAGCTTGGAGTAAAATTAAATAAAAGGAGAGAGATCTTATGTGATTTAAGATGCTGGTGCACATTAGGGACCAAAGTTATGCTGGTAAGTGAAAAAAAGGAAGTTTCAAAACAGCATATATGGTATAATTTTAAATATACATTCTCTCTCCCTCTCTCAAAATTTTATATATAGTATTAATTTAAATATTCATTCTCTTTCTCCTTCCCTCTCTTGCTCCTCTTTTTCTCTAACACATACTATTTTGAAACCTGATTTCAACCTGCATAGGAAAAGAATACAGAAGAATATACTCCAAAATATGTGTGCAATAGAATTAAGAGGAAAATAATTTCTTTTATTTTCCTATGCTGTTTGAAATATTTACAATGATTTACAACTTAAATTTACAATTAATTTACAACTTAAATTCTTTTATAATCACACACCAAAAAAGTTATTTCAATTCTTTAAATTTCTTTCATGCTTTTAAAGTATAACTTTAATTTGTAAAAATAAAGCTAAATATGCTTCACAAAATGAGGTAAGATATTCTCAAGAAGACGTACACCTGAGCAAACTATGTGACACGTGTAACCTCTTTCCAACTGCCTCTTCTTCACCAGCCAACTGAGTTTAAGATTAGTAAAAGAATATTATGTCACAAAAGAGCCAGGATAAGTCATATAAAATGATCTTTCTCACAATTTATTTGGTTCTGATTATACTTTTGAATAGAAAAAAATACATGTGGCTTGAGGGTAGCTGAGTTTCTATCCTCTTAGGGTAAAAAACTGAGTTAACTAAAAACACGAGTATATAAAGGTCATTTTCTCTGAAATTAAATGCAAAATATTCTGAATTTTAAGTCTCATATAAGGGAAGAGCAAAGTAATTAAATATATCACATGCTACACATTATATAGAGATCACTACGTTATCACTTTTTACTACCACAGCTATTAAAACTCCAATACAGGGTAGCCCGGGTGGCTCAGCGGTTTAGCGCCGCCTTCAGCCCAGGGCCTGATCCTGCAGATCCGGGATCGAGTCGGGCTCTCCCTCTGCCTGTGTCTCTGCCTCTCTCTCTTTCTCTCTGTGTCTCTCATGAATAAATAAATAAAATCTTTTAAAAAATAAAACTCCAATACATACCCTCATGTAAGAAAAACCTTTCCTCAACCTCACATAACCCTCTGGCTATCATACTGTCTCCTACCTTGCAAGAAATTTCTCAAGAGTTGTTAGAGAGTCATTATCTCTCTTTCCTCCTCTCCCACTCATTCCTCAACTCAGCTCAACATGGCTTCTTCATCTCTCCTTAGTTTTCACTGAAGTAATACATGACCTCTCTCCATGCCACTAAGTTCAAGGGTCATTTTTCAAACCTCTCACACTATGGACCACTTTGTTTCCTTTGGCTTCAATGACAAAGCCCTCTCCCTTCCCCTTCCCGGACCCCACTGCTGTTGCTTCTCCTCTGTGAACCTCCCAAGTGCTCTGAGTGCTCTCTCTACACTTTTCTCAGTGATCGACTTCTTATGGCATTCTTGTCTCTGAGCGTTTTCACGCATACACATGTCTTTGGAGCTCCAGAGGCTCAAAGGCACTTCAAAATCAACATGTCCAAATCTCAATCCATATTTTCTTCCTAAACCTTGTTCTCCAGGGTACCTCACCTCAATGATTGTCACCACAATCTATCCAAATTGGAAACCTGGGAGTTGACATTACTCTCTGCCCTATAGTAAACCATCAACAAACCTAATGTATTTTTTCCCAACTTTTCCAAATTCCATGCGCTTCTATCTCCACTGCCACCAATTTTATTCAACCTGGACCTCGCAACAATTTGCTAACATTCACTTGTCCTTCTATGATATATTTCCAATACTGCTGGAAAATAGCTTCATTGAATATTATGTTGGCTCAGATCATTTTGTATAATGATTTACATGATTTTATATTTGGAATATATTTTTCTACACATGCATACACACACCCCTAATGAATATTTTACCACAATATGATTCAACTCAATCAACGTTCAGTTTCTAGCTTACCCTCAGCCATCTATCTATCCAAGCATTATGAAAAAAAAATATTTTCTCCTATTTAAAAACCTAGGCTCTATTTATCTTCATAGACTGACATTTAAAAAGAACTAGGTCATTCATAACACTACATGATTAACAGCTTTAATTTACTGATTACCCTGGTAATGATACAGTAATTATATTGCATACAGCACCCTAGTACTTAAGGAGCACAAACAGATAGTAACCTAAATACTACTAGTATACATCTATGACCAGTGAGGACCCAAAGGAAACAGCAATTTATGGATACAATCATTGCTTTCAATATTTCTGATAAAACTGCCTATTAATAACTACATATGACCACTGTTTTAATAAAACATTAACTGCAGCTATCAAGAGATCTAGAAATAAGCAACTAGTTATTACATGTGCTGAACCATGCACTGGAAACAAGAGATATATAACTATTTAAAAAGTCACACATGTAGAAGATATATAGTAAGGAGGTAGTTTCTAATACATAAATGTAAACTCCACAAGTGCAAGAATCTGTCTTCTTTACTCTTGCACCCCCAGTATTTAGAACAGTGCCTAGCACATAGAAAGCATTCAATATATTTTACACAAATGAGTGAACAGATTTATAAAATTAAATTATGATCAACTACTAAGGCTAAGCAAAAAAAAAAAACAAAACGTTTTTTTAAAAGCAAACATTCTCACCGATTTTAATAAGATCATAGAGCTGCCATGTATTCATCTAGTTACCTTCAAAAGAGGCATCTTTCTTGAAACTACCTAAGCATATGAGGACTTTTTCTATTTCCAAACCTGTTCAGAGAGAATTTCAAAGGGAAAGTATCACTTCTAACAGAAACAGCAGAGAAATCAAGAGATGAGAAGAAAAGCCACTGAATAACATTGAGTGGTCACTGATGGAATTAGGGCAATTTTGACAGAAGGGAGGTAGAAGTAGGTAGCTGGGAGACAGGAGAACGTGAGGGCAGCAGCTTGACCCATTTTAAAACATTCTCTCAGGAAGAGGAACAGCTAGAACTGAAACTAAAAGACAAGAGATTTCTCCTTCCCCCAACAGTGAGAATATCTTAATATGTAAACTTAGGTCTTACTTAAACAAGCTACACTAAGAAAAATTTCAAGAGGGGTGCCTAGTAGCTCAGTTGGTTAAGCATCTGCCTTCGGCTCAGGTCATGATCCCAGGGTCCCCTGCTCTGCAGAGAATGCGCTTCTCCCTCTCTCTCTGCCCCTCCCTGACCTACTCCGCACCCCCACTCCCCATCTCTCACATAAAGTCTTTAAAAAAAAAGAAAAAGAAAAAAAACTTCAAGAAAAAAGACAGATTAAAGGTCATTCTGAAGATTAAGAGCACATACTGGCGTGGAAGGAGAGCAAAATTTTTTCTCAGTTGAAAAAATGAAACATTATATGTTAATGTGAAAAGGAAGAAAGCTATAAATATTCCTGCTTAGTGATTCTAATCTTTCAGGTTGATTCTGAGCTTATATTTTATTTTGTTCTCCAAGCAGTTTGTTGATGCTTGGTTAGGCTGAGAGACCACACTAGCCCACTTTAGAAAGTATAGCCATGAAGAACACATCAAAGTGCCTACTAAATATGTATCAATTTTCTGATATACTAATAAAAGAGAATGAAAAGTTTGAAGATGGTTTGATTCAATAAACCAATACCTAATTTTTACCTCAGATGTTCCTTAATTTTTCTGGTTAGGAAATCTTCCTTTTACAAAATCTGACCTTTATACCTAAGTTTTCAGAGTCGGCACTCTGTTTTTCCAGTTTTCAAAAATC